ATACATATATAATGTTATAGATGTATAATGTTGCATACGTGTTATATAGATAATGCATATAATGTATACATATATGATGTTATATATACATAATGTTATGTACACACATATATATAAAGTTATGATGTATACATATATAATGTTATATATATAATGTTATGCACACAACATATATAAAGTTATAATGTATATAATGTTATAGATGTATAATGTTGCATACATGTTATATAGATAATGCAGATAATGTATACGTATATAATGTTGTATATATATAATATTATGCACACACACACATATATAAAGTTATAATGTATATAAACCAGTTGTAGTCCGCTCTGTCTCTGACTCCTGTGACCCTATGTGTGTCAGAGCAGAACTATGCTCCATAGGGTTTTCAGTGGCTGATTTTTTCAGAAGTAGATGGCCAGGCCTTTCCTCCAAGGCACCTCTGGGTGAATCTGAACTGCCAGTCATTCGGTTAGCAGTGCAATAACCGTTGGCACCACCCAGGGACTCCGTTTTGTATATAATGCGGTGCAAATGCTAGGTGGTGGGGATGGCATGTTCATGATCTGCAGACATAAGTGTCTGCATGGTAATAATCAAACAGCAAAACACCAGATTCCTTCTTGCAGTGCCTGAGAGTATGTGCTGTGAAACAGTGAGACACTAAATCACCGCCTAGCTGTTCTAAGGATTAGGCAGAAATGTTAGTGGAACAGATGCCGCCTTGTTCCTTCCAGGGGAATTCAGGCTTCAGTGGAAGTATTTCTCTGCTGGCTTCAGCCCAAGATGCAGGCACAGCCCTTTCTGTGACCTCCCGTTCAACCCAGAGAGTGGCAGGGGCTCATTTTTTGCCCTGAGGGTCAGAATCTGACTGGAAAACACTGGAAGCGGAGCCTCGTGTTGGAGGGCCTCAGCACAACAATGCCTGGTCGGATCCGCTGATTTGAGCTTTAGGGAAAATGAGAAGCCGCCGACCTAGACTGGAACCCAGTGTTTTCATGGCTGCCGGGGGGGAGATGAAAGGATTTGGAGACCCCCCTGGGTCCCTGTGCCATGGGAGCTGGGCGGTCGAGGTAACCGCTCAGGACCTTCGGGATATAATATTCTAGGAGATCTGAAAATGAATGAAGAGAGGCCAAGCCATGGATTGTTTCAGAATTTATCAAGATTTCTCCTCCTAGCATTTGGCAGCAAGGTGGCCACATTCTTGGGAAAAGAAAGTGTCTGTGTCAACATCACCATCTGGAGCCTGTACAGTTTCAGGAACACCCTAGCTGTGGAGGGTGTCGAGCCTGAAGTGCCCCAGGAGAAGAGATCAGGGAACTTCTGAACCTTTCAGACCTTGGGAAGGTCCCCCGGCCACTCAGCACTCACCTTTGAACGGGGACTGGGCTCGAGTCACCAGGAATAGCTTCCTGCTCTTGGTCTGCGGGTCCTGGCGGATGTGGTAGCCCAGCGTGTTGCAGCGGCCCTTCTTGCATCTCAGGCACAGGCCCTGGCTGAAGACGTCCATGTCTCTGCACAGGTAGGCTGTGTTCTGCAAGCGGCTGTGTAGCAAGGAGTCGATGAAGAGGTGCACGGATCGCTCGTGGGCACATTTTATGGTCTGGGTGATGGCTGGAACACAGAAGGCAAGAAGAGCTTTATTGCCCGTTGATCCCAAGTCCCTCAACTCAAAGATCCTCTTGTTCCTCAGCCCACAGGAAACCAAAAAAAATCAAACCAGTTGCCATCAAGTCGATGCCAGCTCACGGTAACGCGTGTGTTTCAGAGTAGACCAGCACTCCATAGGGTTTTCAATGGCTGTGATTTTTTGGAGCCAGACTCCCAGGACTTTCTTCAGCAGCACCTCTGGGTAGAGTTGAACTGCCAACCTTTCAGTTAGTAGCCGACTGCTTAACTGTTTGCATCACCAGGGACTCCCAGAGAAGATTAAACCAAAACAACCTGTTGTTGTCAAGGCAATTCCAACTCATAGCAACCCAAAAGGACAGAGGAGAACTGCCCCATAGGGTTTCCAAGGAGCGGCTGGTAGATTTGAACTGCTGACCTTTTGGTTAGCAGCCAAGCTCTTAACCACTGCGCCACAGAAGATTAGCAGCAACAAATTAGAAACAAGGAGTGCACTGATGAGGCCAACACCCTGACAAGAGAGGGATGTAATAACTGACTGAAAACTAAAGAAAGAGTAGACCCATCTGGGGCTGTTTAGTGTAGAGGCATAATCCCGTCACCTCAGGGCTCCTAAGGGCACTTCTCTATTACAGCATGTCTTTGAACACGTCTTAATAGGAATCCCAAGACATTAAAAACCAGGGCTTCGAACGGGTTCATTTTGGTTTGATCCCCTGCTGAGAATTTACATTTCTAACAAGTTCCCTGCTAAGAATTTGCATTTCTAATGAGGTCTCAGGAAGTTATACATAAGAATCACCTGGGGATCTGTTAAAATGTAGATTCTGATTCAGTATATCTGGAGTGGAAATGCAAGTTCTCAGCAGGGAACTTGTTAGAAATGCAAATTCTCAGTAGGGGATTGAACCGGAACAAACTGGTTCGAAGCCCTGTTAAGAACATATCAAACTATTTTCACTATATTATTTAAGACAGCAGGGTAGGTAATTCATTTTAGAACTATTCCTGCCTCTGATGGTTAAACATACACAAGTGCTGATGCCTTGCAGGTGAGTCCCCTGGAGTAGGCCTGTGTGGACTGTCTCTTGAACAAGTAGAAATGAGGCACTCCCATGGTGCCGAAGGGTCTGACAAAAGCTGATGCCTCTGGCACAACGTCCACTTTGTCTCCAAAGCAGCCATTACATCCCTCAGGGAACCGGCTTGTAACCCAGCACGGTGAGTGGATTTGGAAGGACAGGGCTGGTAACCGGGGTTTGAATGGGCCTGACCAAACAGCGTGGATTAGGTTTAACTGTCATGGATTTGGAGCCTTTTTTTTTTTTTTTTTAACTCTCTAGGTTTTAACCTCATCTTTGATTATTCTCGTATCAATCTCACATCTCAATCATTCTTCAAGGAATGTTGAGGATCCACCCCAAGACAGGTGAAGTACCGTATGTGAAGGCCGAGCGTAGGTAACTTTTCCTAAAGCTGTTTCCCCAAGTATCTGAAGGCTAAATGCCAAGACGCATCATCTCAGTTCCTTGTCACTAGTGGCTGTCCTCCTGAGCACCTCCTATTAGGCAGGAGTTAAGCCGAGTGCTTTCCATACGTCCTCTCATTAACCTTCAACGCAGTTCCAGGAGGCAGCCGTTATAAATGAGGAAACTGAGCTTCAAAGACATTCGCGAGCTCACCCAGGTTCCCAGAGCCAGGAGGTGGTGAGAGCGGGAAAGCCGTTATCCATACATGACGGTTGACGTTCTGTTCACCGCCACCCGTCTGTCCGGTTGCTGTACTGTGGCGGCTTGCATGTTGCTATGATGCTGGAAGCAACACCACTGGTATTTCAAATACCAGCAGGGTTACTCATGGAGGACAGGTTTCAGTGGAGCTTCCAGACTAAGACAGAGTAGGAAGAAAGGCCTGGTGATCTACTTCTGAAAATTAGTCAGTGAAAACCTTATGGATCTCAACAGAACATTGTCCGACTTGCTTGTTTGGATGGGACATCAGGAAGGACCAGTCACTAGAGGCGGACATCAGGTTTGGTGAAGTAGAAGGCCAGCAACGGTGTGGGAGACCCTTGGTAAGATGGGTTGACGGACTTGAGCATGCTGGTGATGGTGAGGATGACGCAGGCCCGGGAATGTCTTGTTCTGTTGTACGTAGGTCCCATGAGTCAGAGTTGACTCCGCAGCAGTTAATAATAGCAGCAATTCTGTTCAGGTGTGGCTGGGAGAACCACCCCGGAATGAAATCACTTTCAAACAGGAGGGTGAGGTAAGCAGGAAAAAACACACCAAGGTTGGACGAGCTAAATAAAAGGCTTGTTTCCGTCACTTTGAAGCTTAGCACAAGAGCAAATAGCCATGGTTGGTCTGATGTGTTTAACAGGCAGAGTTACTGAACGCTGTCCTAGAGGTGGGTCTCAGGATTTTCAGAGAGTAGATGTGGGAGGAGGGCTGACTGAGGGAGATGTAAGGAATGATAAGGGGAAGTTCCCAGAAGGCTCTCTCAGGCATGGGTGGGTGGAAGGCTGGGAGTCCAGCCAAAATGAGATAATGTCAAGCTTGAAGGTCAGCCTGATACGTGAGAGGTGAGGGTGGTGACGTAATCACGAGAGAGTATGTTCTCAGCTCAGTTTTGGATGACTGGGGTGAGAAGGTGGCATGTGGGGTGGGGGTGTCCAGTTGGCTTAGAATGAGGTGGCATATTTTAATTGGGATGGTATTTTGTAAATTATGAGAAATATGGAATGCCTATGGAATGTGTGGTTTCTGCTGACATTTTTGTTCTTTAATCCTGTCCATGTTGCCAATGTTCATATTAATGTTTTCGTTTTAGGATTTAAGAGAGAAGTGGGATCACAACACAGATAATGCCAAATTCAGTGTCTGCCCTGAGGTAAAGGATCTAACCAGGGCATATATGAATCTGAACTCCAAATTCAAAGAATCTCAGTGATATCCTGTAGGATCAGCTGATCAGTCTTCAGGGTGGGGGTGGAAGGGTGGGATCACTCCCGCTCTTGTGAGACCAAGGATCAGCTAGCCATGATCTGTTATTAAATGGATCCTCATGTGGCCAGGAATAGAGAAAACACCTTGAATGAAGAAGCTTCTAGAGAAGGCAGAATAATCACAGTGTCAGGTTTCAATGTTCAGAAGAGCTAGTATCCCAGGGGAGTCCCTGGGTGTTGCAAATGGTTAATGTGCATGGCTGCTAATCCAAAGTTTGGAAGTGCGAGTCCACCCAGAGGTGCCCCAGAAGAAGGGCCTGGGTATCTACTGAAAAAACAATCAGCCATTGAAAACCCTGTGGAGCCCAGTTCTCTTTGACACATATGGGGTGACACACATGGGGTGGCCATGAGCTGGCACTGACTCAGCTCGAAGGCATCTGGTTTTAGTCCCGCTGGAGAGACATTGCCTGGGTGCGTTGTGTGTGAGGGGAGCTGATTCCTCATGGTGTCCCTCGGCTCATCCTCCGGGCCTGGGCTCCGAGGAACTCTGTTGGGGGTGGGGGTGCTGCCTGGGGAACACCAACCAGCCCTTCCACACTCCTTCCGGGTCTCTCTCTGAGTGGGCTTGGTGACCACACACCCTGGGCCCCTGCTCTTGCCACACTCTTCCCAGAGTCCCACAGAGTGGGTAGACTCCAGAGGCCTCATGGAAGTGTGGGCCTTCTTCCTCACCATTTAAGCCGTACTTGGCAATGTGTTTGTAGAGCTCCAGGAAGTGGCAGCCAGGCTGGAAGGAGCCGCCATTGGGGTAGAAGTCATAGTGAGCCACGGGCTCTTTGATGCCCATGCTCAGGCCCATGTGCTGCCGCGTGAAGGTGTGAATGGCGTCCACAAAATTGGCATCATCTGGTGAAAGACGGTCACTGGGGGGAGTTCCCTCAAACAAAGGACCCGCGGCGTCCAGCCCTAAGAGGGAAGCAAGGGCAAGGTCAGGTGGGGCATGGGAGGGGAGGAGAGACCCACTTCTTAGCTTTTTGATACAGTATTACTACACGTTGGAAACCCTGGTGGTGTAGTGGTTAAGAGCTACAGCTGCTAACCAAAAGGTCGGTAGTTCAAATCCACCAGCTGCTCCTTGAAAACCTTGTGGGGCAGTTCTACTCTGTCCTACAGGGTCGTTGTGGGCTGGAATCGACCCCATGGCAATGGGTTTTTTCTTTTCTTTTCTTTTTTTTTTTTTATTACTGTCATGGATTGAATTATGTCCCCCCAAAAAATGTGTGTATTGATTTGGCTGGGTCGTGATTCCCGGTACTGTGTGATTTTCCTATATGTTGTAAATCCTACCTCTGTGATGTTAATGAGGGAGGATGGGCGGCAGTTGTGTTAGTGAGGCAGGACTCAGTCTACAGGATTGGATTGTATCCTGAGGCAATGTCTTGAGATATAAAAGATAGAAGTGAGCAGAGATACAGGGGGACCTCATACCATCAAGTAAGCAGTGCCGGGGGCAGAGTGTGTCCTTTGGACCGGGGTCCCTGCGCCGAGAAGCTCCTAGTCCAAGGGAACACTGATGAGAAGGCCGAGAGAGAGAAAGCCTTCCCCTGGAGCTGACGCCCTGAATTTGGACTTTTAGCCTACTTTGACTGTGAGGAAATAAACTTCTCTTTGTTAAAACCATCCACTTGTGGTCTTTCTGTTACAGCAGCACTAGATGACTAAGACAATTACACATTCATAATCTAGCAGGAGGAAGGAAAGCCTAGGGTGTAATCTTTCTGTAGAAAATCTTGCTATAACCTTTTCACAGTAAAACCACAGTAATTCATGGTGTTGAAAATTAGACATAGGCTGGACTGTAACTAGGGAGAAAAGAAGCTTCAGAAACTACCCAGTGGTAGAGACAAGATTATAGGGGCAATGCTGATTTATCTAAGCAAGCCAATTTTAAGTACTTTTCAAGTGAATCTGTTTGCATACGAAAAATAAAACAATAAATAAACAAAAAAATCCTAATGTGCTCATTATAAGTATTTCCAACCATCCATCAAAGAAATAACTATTTGCCTGCACGTTGTCAATAATTTTCCTAAACAAGCTGGCTTTTCTCCTCCACCTATGCCATTTCATTCGCAAGTCCGGAACAGCCTTGGGGCGTCACGGAGAGCAAACGGGACGCTAGAAGCCCTGGTCCTTGAGTGACAGATGGGCTTGCCGGAGACAAGTGGCAGCTCTTGGCTAACTCCGGTCGGGGAGTATTGATTCACTCAAGACTTTTCCTCTGGAGAACCCTCGGCTGTCGGACAGCAGCCCTGGCTTCCAGCCCCAGCAGGGGTGGAGAGATGGACGGTGGGTATGTGATCACTCGTTCTCCAGCCCCGACCTGCAGTGACGAGTGAACCATTTCTTGGTGTGATTTATATCCCTCCTGCTGCCTCTGACTTGTGGGCCTGCTGGATGCCTGTGTGAACCCCAGCACAGGCAGAGAGGAGGGGTCCTGGCCCGAGGCCGCCTTGCTGCCATTCTGATGCAGGCTTCTGGCCCTGGTTTCTCAGTGGTGGTCGCGCTGGCCTCTGGAAAGCTTGCATGGGAGGCCTGCTCACCCTGAGACCGCTGAGAACCAAACCAGGGGGAGCAAGTGCTGATCTGTGGACCAGGCCTCACCAGTCACCAAACCGAAAATCTAAACCCACTGCCGAGATTCTGACTCCTAACGACCCTGCAGGACAGAGTAGACCTGCCCCACAGGTTGTCCAAGGCTGTAAATATGTACTGAAGCAGACCACCACATCTTTCTCCCGAGGAGCAGCCGGTGGGTTTGAACCACTGACCTTTTGGTTAGCAGCTGAGTGCTTAACCACTGCACCACCAGGGCTCACAACCACCAGCAAGATGGGAAAAAATAAGGACGAGGGCATGGGTTCCCACGGTGGCAGATTTGTTCCGTTTAAGGTCTAGCATTCTCTCTACTCTTTTTCACATGACAATCCCCCCTTTTCTGAAACAGTGGCAGACAGCAGTTGCTTTAAAAAATATTCTTACTCGATAAATACATTTATAACCTTATGTTTTTCATCCCACATTTTCTTTGAATTGCCTTACCCTGTGAAATTTTGTTTGAGCCAGAGGGGTCTTGAAGGATGAATAAGAGTTTGGTAGGTAGAGTAAGGGTGGGGAGACATCCTGGGCAAGGGGTACAAACAGCCCGTGCAAAGGCCCGGATGCACGAGAGGCCGTGGCGTGATTGTAAGGTGGAGACAGATCCAGTGTAGTTGAAGCCGAGAGCTGCTGGGAGGGAGTGGCAGGAGGAGAAGCTGGAGGCTCTGGGGAAACCAGGTGGAGGAGGGCCTTGCCTGTGCCTCCTGGGTCTCATCCCTGTAGCTGTCAGTGGGCCTCGAGACTTCCACTGGGGAACACCCTGACCAGGGCAAGTGTGGTCGGAGGGGCTTTCTGTCACATTTCCCGCTTCTCCCGGATAACAAAAGCCACTTCCGGGTGGGGGTGGGGCTCAGGGCCAGGTTTTGGGTGCAGTCCCTCCCCTCCCTTGACACAGGACGTGTGTGTTTCACAGGTGAGGAAACCGAGGCATAGATGTGGCCGCTGTGTTGCAGCAGATTAAGGGCTATGTTCTTCACTCCCTAACTTGCCACGTTGGGCTTCTTAAACCATAGATAGAAAATAACAAACTCTTTCCTGCTTCAAAAACATACAGAAAGCCCACTTTTTTTTTTTTTTTTTGTACTTTAGGCAAAGGTTTGCAGAACAAACTAGTTTCTCATTAAACAGTTAGTACACATGTTATTTTATGACATTGGTTACCAACCCCACGATACGTCAACACTCTCCCTTCCCGACCTTCGGTTCCCCTTTACCAGCTCAGAAAGCCCACTTTTTCGGTCCTACTTGGCGTGTTTGTGACAGGTCTTGGTTTGAGGAGAGGCTGTAGGAGTTACGGCTGCAATCCGCTCCAAAGTCTCTTGCAACTGGGGTCTAGGCAGTGGTCATACTTGAAACACTGTTCCAAGCCCTCCCATGAACTCCAGTCTGGACGGCATAAGGGAAGCTGGAGGTGTCTTCACTGGGAGACTCTTGGAAAAGCCAGTCCTTGCTCCGCGCCCCGTGCATTTCTGGAGATTACAGTTGGTTAGTTATCAGGCACAGTTACCTGTGATTCTCCCAATCTTGTGCGTTCCGCCAATGTAACTGCCGGCAAATCCTGAGACGTGTGCACCAAGGCTGTACCCAATCAGATGAACGTTGCTTCGAGAAAACCGCACAGACACCTGGAAGACAGCAGCGGGGGGATTGCAGCAGGACAAGCTGCGGGATGAAAAGCTTCTGTGGGTGCAGCTTGTCTGGGTGCCCACCCTGCTCTTGGCGCCTCATGGAAATGAGGTGCTTCATTCATACTCCAAACAGAAACCAGCTTCTCCCCCCCCTCACTCTCCTCTCAGATGGGCTACCTGGGACCCTACCTGGCAGTCGGCCCCACCTGCGTGCCTGGCTCCACCCTGACATCTATGCCTGTGAATGACGTTGCTCATTTATGAGGGGTTTGATGGTTTACAGGGGTGTTCAGAGCTCTTAGCATAACCAAGGGGCTGAACATCAAAGGAATAGTGTGTGAGGTGGGGGGAGAGATGGTTCTACAAAACAGGGGTTCACGTGAGGCGTCCAAGAGAACCCTGGGGTCGTGTCCCCGTCCCGTGCCTGACCATTCCTGAGAGCCTGGAGGAAGCGGTTCCCCTCGCTGGGACCAGCTGAATCACTCGCTCTTGGAGGAAGGGAGAGGAGGGGAGGGATGGACGGGTCTTACCTCCAGCCACTGGAGGAGAGTGGCGACCTCCCGGCCCACGAGGCGGGTGTTGCGGACGGCAATGACATAGTGTTGGTGGGCCAGGGTGATCCAGTCCACCAGCCCCACATTCACTGGCTGTGACAGTCCAGACTTCAGTGCAGCCACCAGCTGCCTGATCCAGGTTTCCAGCACGCCATCCACCTAAGGGCGGCCCACAGGCCAGTCAGCCTCGCTGCTGTGTCTTTCTCCCTGCCCATCCCTCCTTCCTTCTCCAGCTCTTGGATAATGTTAGAGCTAAGAGAAAGGATTCTCACAAGGTTCTGCAGACCCAGCAGCACTGACACTTTGCCCTGGATAGTTCTCTGTGTGGGGGCTGTCCCGTGCATTGTAGGGTGCTTAGCAGCGTCCCTGGCCTCCACCCACCAGATGCCAGTGGCTCCCCTCCCACCAGCTGTGACAACCAAAAATGTCTCCAGACACTGCCAAATATTTGAGGGGCGGGGGTTGGGGGTGGGAAAGCGCCCTCCTCTGAGAACCTCTGACTTAATAGCGCTCTACTTCGGGACTTGCCAAGCTTTAAAACAACAGAAAAGTCTCTGAATTGGACGGAAATCTGCCCTGTCCTTTGAAGGTCGTCTCCAGTATCACCTCGTCTGGGAGGTGACGCCTTCTGCATCCCACATGTTTGATGGGACCCTGGGAGGTGACCCCTTCTGCATCCCACATGTTTGATGGGACCCTTGCCCACTGCCTTCCGCTTTGCTTTGGAGGGACCAGCACCATCAGCCTAAGAGCTCAATGAAGGTTTATTGAGAAGTGTTTGAGCACAATTTGCAGAGCACTCCTGATGGGTTTCACAGAGTGAAGGCATCTGTGGTGCATCCTGAAGGATAAACAGGAGTTCAGTAAGAAGAACCGAGCGGGCAGGTGAATGCCGTGCTGGTGGGGTGGGGCATGGTGCCCCGGGAGAAGGAAGTGTACCTGCAGAGGCTGAGTTCTGGGGAGAGGAGAAAAGCTGGGTGTGGGTACAGGTAGACTCTGGGAGTGAAGGAGGAGGAGGGGCAGCTGGAGAGCTCTTCTGACGGCCTGACCTGGCATTTCTGGGATAAGACCAGTCATTTCGGGAGTGTTCACCCAGTGCCTTCTACGTGAATGTAGCATCTTGTAGCCAGATGCAGTTGGTTCAAATCCGGGCTCTCCCAGGCACTAGCTAAGTGACCTTGGCCAAGTTATTTAATGTCTCTGTGTCCCAATTTAGAGCCCTGGTGGCGCAGTGGTTAAGAGCTTGGCTGCTATCCAAAAGGTCGGCAGTTTGAATCCACCAGCCGCCCCTTGGAAACCCTCTAGGGGCAGTTCTGTTCTGTCCTACAGGGTCGCTAGGAGTCAGAATTGACTCGATGGCAGCGTGTGGTTTTTTGGTGCTCCAGATTCATCATCTGGAAGGTGGGGATAATATTAGTGCCTACCTCTGAAAGCTGTGAGGATGAAATGAGGTAAGAGATGTAACTCAGAGCTGTGCCAGGATGCAGTAAGCACTCGGTAAATGCTACTTACTGCAGTGGTTGTTGTTATTACTGTGGTTGCGGTTATTGCTACTATCATTAGTAGCAGTTGTAGTAAACATATTCTGGGCTGGGGAGGATTTTGAGCAGGAAGAGCTCGCCTGTCCCAGCTGCTCGAGTCACAGCCAGGATGCGTGGGTTTATGGCCTGGTTAGAGGACCCTGCAATCTTCAAGTTGCATTTGTAAACGGACGACTCGTTTGTTTAATCACTGATTCAGTTAACAAACATGTTTTGAGCCCCTAACACATATTGGCTACTGTCCCATGGTGGTCAAAGAGATGAGGACAGGACGGAATACTCTCCCGTCAGGAGCTTGCCGCCAGCAGGGCAGAGGACACCCACAGACGACGGTAAAGCTGTGCAGTGAACAGTGCTGAACATGCCCCGCAGCCTGGGACCCCAAGGGGGAGGGCTGGAATGGAGGCGGGAGGGCCTGATGTGGGATTGCGCCCTCCAGGAAAAGTGGGGGTTAATCAGGAGAAGAGGGGGAAGGACACTCCTGGCAGGGAGCAGAGTCTGGGCACAGGCCAAGGGAAAGGACACGGCACGGAATGTGGTGGGGTCTACAGGGGAGGGAGGGGGAGGCAGGGGGAGGCAGGGGGAGGCAGGAGGAAGTGAGGGGAGGCAGGGAGAGGTGGAGAGGAGGCGGGGTAGATGAGGGAGAGGAGGAGGAAGGTGGGAGGAGGTGGAGAGACGCAGAGGGAGGTGAGGGGAGGAAGGGGGAGGTGGGAGGGAGTTGGAAGCAAGGGTAAGATCGGTGGGGATTTTGAGAGTATTTTTTCCAAGTAGATGGTAGGAAGTGTTTCAAAATCATGAAATAGATCCCCAAATCTCTGGAGGGTTCAAATTGTAAACTAAGCTCCAATTTATGGGTGGGCTTGGAACCAGGGACGGAAAGTTTCCTCTTGGGGACAAGTCTTCACTTAGTTCGCCTTCCCTTGTTGCCTACAATAGCCTTTCTTCCTCCTATAATAACAAAATGTTTAGCATCACTGAAAGTCTGTCACTAGCAGCCTCCTTTGTACCCAGGTATGGCAGATGGATGTAATTAGAAGCATTTCATGGATGCTTCTAGGAACCGAACCTGAAAAAACTCTTCTTTGACCCTTTCATGTACATCCCATACTACATTGTGCTGCCTGGAATACAGGTGTGATGCCCAGCACTCTAGCTCCCATTTTAGGCTATGAGGATGAGAGCTACATGCCAAGGACAATAGAGTAGTAAGCTGGAAAGAACTGTACCCTTGAGGACTTCATAGACCAAAGCCATCTAACCAGTTTTGGATTCCATACCTCCCGACTTCTGCATGAAATGGAAAAGATCTGTTTTATTTGAACAACTGCTAATTTGGGTCTCCATTTTTGCAGCTGAACCTCATCCTTAGTGATGCAACATCTCACTGGGAGTCTCTGTCTGCTGGCCTCCTACCTCCTCCCACGAAACACGAAGATTCAGGTGGGAGACTTCCTCTGGCATGGATTGCCATCCCTTATGAGCTGTGTGACCTGTTTAAGCCACATTTTATTACCTGAAACATGGAGATCATTATATTTTCCCTGCCCTGCTTACCTCACAGAATTGAGCTAACCAATGAGATAATGTGCAGGGCAGTGCTTGGAAAATTAGAATGTGCTTTACGAATATTAGGCAAGAAGTTGTTCTTACCGGCTCCCCATCTCTTTATTAAAAGTAAACACGCTAGGAAGAAAAAGAAAAAAGAAAACGTGAAAGTAGGGAGAAAAAAGGCCCGTCAGCCTTTCGTACCGACCATCCGTGGATTACCATCACCAGCGGCAGGGAGGCGTTGAAATGGCACTCCCGTAACGTGTTGGGGTGATGGAGCCGAATCTGACAGGCTTTACCAGCTTCGTCAAAGAGCAGAAATCTGGTCTTCGTCTCCTGCACTGTTTCCTTTGTCTCAACATCTTGAGAACTTCTCAAAGACGGCTCTGGAACGCAAGGTTGGGGACAGTGTTTAGTCTGGCGTCTGTTCTCCACCAGCTCCAGGACCACCTAAAGGTTTCTAAGAGCACAAACCAGTGGGGTTAATGTGGGCTGCTGGGCATCAGCATGAGCCACCACTTTGGGGAACCCAAGCACACTTCCAGCAGAGTGGCCGTTTTCCTCCTGGGAGACAGAAGAGGTTGACCTAAGAGGACCCTCACTGAGGACCCGTCACTGGTGTCGAGGTGGCAGATCTTCCATCCTGCCATCTCAGTGACCACGGGACCTGGTCTCAACCAGTCAGACATTGTCTCCCAGGACTTCAAACCACAGTAACTCTAGGACAAAGAGAATAGAGGAGAGGAAACCCAGACTGAGGTTTGGAGAGGAAAAGCATCTCATCCAAAATCACATTGCCAATAAGTGGTAGAGCCGGGATTTGAACCCAGGTCTCTGACTGCAATTCCCATCTCTACACTGCCATGCTAGGAGACAGTGAATGGAAGTACCTCAGTTGGAGGATACTATGGGACAGTTCCACTCTGTCCCATAGACTGCTATAGGGTCGCTATGAGTTGGAATTGACTCAGAGGCAATGGGTTTTGTATGGGTTTATGAACTCTGTAAGGAGCACTGGTGGCGTGAATGATTCAGCATTTGTCTGCTAACCGAAAGGTTGCTGGTTTGAACCCACCCAGCCATTCTGCAGGAGAAAGATCTGGTAATCTGCTCCCATAAAGATTACAACCTAGGTAGCCCTATGGGGCAGTTCTAACCTGTGGGGTCGCTATGAGTGGGAATCAACTCAACAAGCACCTAACAACAACAACGATAGCAGTATCTCATGTCACCCAACCAGCTCTTACTTGCAGACACATTCCATCACAGAAGCTTCATCTGGACACGGCACGGGGTGGAGTCAGCATGGGGACCCTCATGAAGGGAGTGCTGACCTCTGCTTCATGGGGGGAGTGGCAGTAGGGAAGGCTTTTCAGGGAAAGTGATGCTGGACCCTAGCCTTGAAGAATGAATGGGGCGTGCTGGGATGGGGTGCTTTCTGTCTTAGAGAACAGTGTGAGTTAAAGCTCAGAGGCAGAGACAGGGTGGATCCGGCCAAATCGTGGAGGGCCCTGGGGAGGATGCTGCTGAGGACCCTGTGTGGATGCTCAAGGTGACAGGCTGCTGCTGAAAGGGGCAGGCGAATAGCCATTCTGATTGCTCCAAGGATTGTGGCGGGCAGGCGAAAGGAGAGAAAGAGCACTTTTAAGATTTTACCTTCTGTTATTTTACCAAATGGCCTTACAGCTTCTCTCGGGAAAACCTCACTCTGACTGTGAGCCACTCTGGAGTGGGGATGGGTAGCACCCAACAGCTGTCAAGTCTGTGGTGCGGCCCCCAAAACAGACTCCCCTGTTTGCTGTCTGGGTGAAGCCTGGGGAGGCCATGTCTCCAGGCTGGTGGCACCCCACATGGGCGACATCTTTTTGCCAAGATTAGGGATCAGGCCGAGAGCTGAGGGGAGGAAGCTCTCGCCCTCCTTTCCAGCAGAGTGTGAGCCCCTGCAGCCGAGGAGCGGATGCAAGGCCAAGCTGGCATTTTTGGTCAGTGAACTCAATTCAGTCCAATTACTAAGCACCTAATCGTTCTTTCTGAGTACAAAGTCATATAGGCTTCTCAAATAATAAGTCTTGGGCTTTTGGTTTCAGGGGACAGCGGGACTGAGAGATGATGAACCTAGAATGTGCAAGGGGAGGGATTAATGAAACCAATTTTCCTACCCAAAGGTTATTAATTCCAAAGGTTATTAATTCCCAGCAAAGGGCGATGATTTTTCACTATGATGACAGAATGAAACGCATCATATTTTATTAACAGAAGATGTGAGGGAGAATCTGAATAACTTTTCTGAGTAATGAGGAAAATGTCCACTGCCCCGTGTAGCTTCCCTTACGAGTGGACTCCCTGAAGCTGACCTCCCCCCTGCAGGCCGGCTCGTGGCCCACGCTGCCCATTTCATTGGTGCCAACAAAACAAAACAACAGTTGTCGTCCAGTCTAGTTGATTCTGACTCACGGCAACTCCACGTATGTCAGGGTAGAACTGTGCTCCACAGGGTTTTCAATGGCTTATTTTTCGAAGTAGATTGCCAGACCTTTCTTCGGAGGTGTTTCTGGGCTGACTCAAACCCCTAACCTTTCGGTTAGCAGCCAAGTGCATTCATCATTTGCACCACCCAGAGACTCCTCACTGGGTGCACTGCCTTCCTAAGTCAGAAGCCAGGGGTCTCCTTGCACTCCTTCTCCAGCCCCCCAATTAGCCCAAAGCTTTGGATCCCCAAAACCCCTTGAATCCAGTGCCTCTGTTCAGGTACACACTGTGTCCTGCCTGGTTTATTGCAACAGCCTCTGGTCCCCCTTGGTGCAGCCTCACCATCCTTCCTCACACTGCTGCTTAAAGATCTTTCCAGAACAGACATCTGGTCTTGCCACTATACCCTGCCCTGACTTCAAGGCCTTTGACATTGCAGCCACGGCCACCGCCTCGTTAATAACCTCTGTTCGCCCACCTCCTCCCCACTCTCATCCCTCTGTGACCCGAGACTCCCTAGCTCCTAACTGCTATCTTGCACCGCTGAGCCTTTGCGCCCTCTCTTCCCTCTGACTTTACGGCTTCCGGTGAACTCTGGTCGGTCCCTTAGAAGGAGCGCAGGCGTCACGCCCTCCAGCAAGCCTCCTGGCCTCCCTTCCCCCTGCCGCCAGCACCATGCTGCGGACCTGATCTGGATGTACTTGTCATGCCGCCCAGAGTCTATTTGTTGAGGTGCCTGCTTCCTCTGCCAGGCTGTGACCTCCCTGAGGTCAGAGGCCATGTCGTTAATCTGCATATCCAGCATGGAGGGCGAGCTGGGCTCGTGGTGGGTGCTCAGTGAACTCATAGGCGTGAGGTGGTTTACTGACGGATCCAGGACTCGGACCAAAGGCTAGGGTTTGATCTGTCAGTCATTTATACATTGGAGCTAAATGTAGCTAATTTTCTTTTGTTCAGCTATACCTTCCTTTATTTTGGGATAAAGAGCTGGCTGGAATGCTAGGGGGACCATGTGAAAATACAACGGGGATGAAATAGTACCTGTCTCCCAAAGCTGTCACGAGGGTTCGGTTGGAGTCTGTTTGCACAGAGCTGAGAACAATGCGGGGGGCATAACCTGCACCTGTGTAAGGGCGTGCTGTTCCCTAAACTCTGATTGGAGCATTCAGCATCTCGTGTCTTTGATCTGTGAAATCCTTTGTCTCTGTGACCAGTTACCCCAGTTGCTCTCACAGGATCCGTTCTGTCTGATGTTTGTTTGCTCCGGATTTAGCTGGAGGATTAACTCTGGCCGGGGTGCTGAGGGCCTGTGGGCTGGGTGCTGTGGGAAAGAGTTGTCTGACCAGAGGACCACAGACACGGGGACTCTTTTCTGGGGGTTTTGACTTTAGCTTGTGTGTGAGACAGGAAGCTGTATTTGTCTAGGTGTGTGATTACTCATTCATTCCCTCATTCACTCATTTCCTCAACAAACATCACACGTATATTATTAAGCATATATTATTACACATACATTATTATGCACATATTATGCCCCAGGCCTCCCTGGGTGATGAAAATGGTTAACATGCTCAGCTGCTAACCGAAAGGTGGGAGGTTCAAGTCCACCCAGAGGTACCTCAGAAGTAAGGCCTGGTGATATACTTCTGAAAAATCAGCCACTGAAAACCCTGGGGAGCACAGTTCTTCTCTGACACACCTGGGATCGCCATGAGTCAGAACTGACTCGACAGGGACTGGTTTTGCATTATGTCTCAGGCCCTGCTGGGGCATTGCTGTTGTTGTTTGGTGCGGGTGAATTGATTCCGACTCATAGTGACCCCGTGCACAACAGAACGGAACACCACCCGCTCCTGCGCCATCCTCACAATCGTTGCCACGCTTGAGCCCATTGTTGCAGCCACTGCGTCAATCCATCTGGTTGAGGGTCTTCCTCCCTTTCGCTGATCGTCTTACTTTACCAAGCGTGATGTCCTTCTCCAGGGACTGGTCCCTCCTGATAACATGTCCAAAGTGTGTGAGACAAGGTCTCGCCACCCTCGCTTCTAAGGAGCATGCTGGCTGTACTTCTTCCAAGACAGATTTGTTCATTCTTCTGGCAGTCTATGGTATAGTCATTATTCTTTGCCAACACCATAACTCAAAGGCATCAATTCTTCGGTCTTCCTTACTCATTGTCGAGCTTTGACATGCATATGAGGTGATTGAAAATACCATGGTAAGGCTTTCACTGGCCAATTTTTTTCAGAAGTAGACTGCCAGGTCTTTCTTACTGGTCTGTCTTAGTCTGGAAGCTCCGCTGAAACCTGTCCACTGTGGGTGACCCTGCTGGTATTTGAAATACCAGTGGCATAGCTTCTAGTATCACAGCAACACTCAAGCCACAAGAGTACGACAAACTGACCGATGAGTGTTGGGCTTAGGTGCTAGTTAGAGGTAAATCGGCCATGGCTTCTGTCTTCCAGGAGTCCCCATTCCTGTGGGGGAGGAAGGCCTGAGAAGCAGCTACTGCAATTTGGGCGCTATAAGTGCTGGGATGGAGGGATGTCCTGAGTGGGGGCTGTAGGGGAGACGCCAAGAGGCACCGGGGGCTGTAGGGGAGACGCCGAGAGGCACCGGGGGCTGTAGGGCAGACGCCGAGAGGCACCGGGGGCTGTAGGGGAGACGCCGAGAGGCACCGGGGGCTGTAGGGCAGACGCCGAGAGGCACCGGGGGCTGTAGGGGAGACGCCGAGAGGCACCGGGGGCTGTAGGGCAGACGCCGAGAGGCACCGGGGGCTGTAGGGGAGACGCCGAGAGGCACCGGGGGCTGTAGGGGAGACGCCAAGAGGCCCTGAGACATCAGGGAGTCTGGAAGGATGAAAGACTCTTTAGGAGCTCACATCAAGAAGAAATTGTTGAAGAAAGTGGAATTCTGG